ATGACAATGAAACATGTCTGCTCCTGGCAGCACCAATCTACTTCAGAGAAGATGATGGGCATCAAAGAAACTCCATATGGAGTTTACTTTCTTTGTGGCAAAAGTAAGCCACTGGTAAGAAAGTCCTCTTGCCTCAAATGCTGACAGTTGCTGTCCAAACTGGATAAGCAGGAAACAATAGAGAGTGACTCCAAGCCTTGCAAAGACAAGGTGGGACAGTCCTTCAAAACTCCTGCTTCATAAAAAAGTCTGTTGAATATTCTAGGCCTGTAGGATGAAGATGGATGCCCCAACATTGCAAAGGAACCTTGGAGGACTTGTCCAGGTGGCCGGCTGTTTCTGTCATTTCTCATAATTTTTGGAAGTTGATTGCTTGCACTTCCTGTTTACTGAAGTAATGTTATTTCCTTCTCAGGTCTCTGGAGTTGAAGAGTAGATAGTTATAGTTTTCCTTGTAACAAATTCAGAAAAGAAACTCACTAAAGAGGTATAAAGTGTGTAAGTTTGAGAGACATCAAAAGATAGTTTTCGGTTGGTAATACAAGTTAGGATAGAAAGTGAATTAGGTACAACACTTTGGACTCACCAAAATAGGATAAATAATAAAGTACTTTCTCTGAATCTGTCAAGTGTTAATGGACTAGACATTATTGATGTAATTATTGCCTATATATTATATATAGTTATTGTACTTATTGTATATAATTTTTCTTATATTAGGTATAATCTTTAGCCACAGAGGCCAGGCAGTGGTGGCTCACACCTTTAATCCCAGCATTCCAGAGGCTGAGGCAGACAGATCTCTGTGAGTTCAAGGCCAACCTGGCTACACAAGATTGATCCAGTCTAAAAGAGAAACAGACACATGCCTTTAATCCCAGCACTAGGGAGGTTGAGACAGGAAGTGATATGGCTGGGTGGAGAAAGGAATATAAGGCGAGAGGAGACAGGAGCTCACTCTCTTTTGGTTGAGGATTTGGTAGAGGTAAGAACTCTGGTGGCTGGCTGCTCTGCTTCTCTGATCTTTCAGCTTTCACCCTGATATCAGACTCCGGGTTTTCATCAGTAAGACCAATTAGGATTTGTGCTACACTGTTACTCCTTTCTTAGCATGTTGGCCTAAGGGCACTGGAAGCCTAAAGTGATCAATGGAATGTTTGTTGTGTTTCCTGGCAGGCACTCC